CTGCTGTTGCTACGTATATTTTCTCAGTACCTACGTGATTACCTGTCGTCGTAGATTTGCAAACTCATGTTTTAGTCTTTTAGACTTTCATAACTGTCTGCTACACCCTACTCTGATTTATATTACACCCTACTATGAGTTATTATTTTGATGCCTTTTTGGTAATACGTGTTATTTTATTAAGGTTTAATGGGTACAGTTTACAAGTTACTAAGTAAATCTAGTCGCGTTCAGCTAATATTTTCCTTTGGGCATTTTGTTAAAAAAAGGAATTGGAATAAGAATTTTAGTTAATTCTGTTTTTGCTATCAGAACATACGATTATTTTATTTCTTTTGATTTATTGATAATTAGTTAAGTGCAATAGCATCTATTCCGTACAGCCTTGTCTGAGGTTTTATCTTTTTTCCTGTTTCCATATAAACGTAGGTATTCGTCGTTTCCAAGTTTTGCAGCTACCTAATGAAAATATACGGGGACATAAAGAAGTCAATACGAAAAAAGCGACCCATTTGCGTTCCTGCGCTGAATTCACGGAACACTTTTTGTTTACGATCAATACAAATAAACATTATATATATATTGATATTTTATCTCCGAAAACGAACTTTTACGCACCAAAGCTACCTCTATTTTACTAAAATGAAATAAATGTACACGATTCTATATTTTACGAATTTAATTCATCATAAATAATATTACCTACATTCAACGGTTTTATCGCGTTTAATTTTGAATTACAAAATATTTTAAAAAGGTACGCGGATAAACCTACTTTTTTAAATAAATAAAATAAACAAACATCCAATGAATTTCGCAGAACCACGCCACCAAATAATATTTTTATTTAATTCACAAAAATCATCAAAAAAATTCAATTAAAATTGAAATAATATCTGATGATGCTTTCTCTAAAAAGAAAGAATGAAACTGCGTCAACGTTTCCTTTGAACTGAAAAAATAGGTGTAGGTGTCCCTTGGAACGACACAATAAAATTAATTTGACTTGTCAAATAAATATGTTACAAACGTTTCTCATTTTCCCTCTTACTCAAGTGTGCACGGAGAGAAATGTGAGTGAAAATTTCTCTCGGACATTTTCTTTTTTTTTTATTTACAACACTCGAAACAGGCTTCAGGCGAAATCAAACCTTGTGAGTCGCAATGTAACCCCTACTTGCGTGCTACGGTCCGCACGGCTTCAAATATGTTACTAATGAAATTAATCTTATATCTTGACTACGGATCTTTTTCTGTGTGTATAGATAAGTGTAGTAATGTTAGATGATCTAAAAGTCGACACAAAAAGAAAAGTAAATATGAAAAACACAGGAGTTTTGGTTGTGTTTAAGGAAAAATATATTTTTAAAATTGCATAGCTATGTTCACAGTATATTATTTATACAGCGCGTAAGTTTGTAATCAGTGTACAATTTTCTATGCTTTGTTATTTTTAATAGAAGATATTTAAGAAGTTTGTTTTTGTATTTTAAAAATTGATAATCAGTTATTTATTAACATTGTTACGTTTATTTTAATACCACTAACTTATGAAGGTTGATAACTCAATGGTTTACACGCCGGTTTCAAGGTTTTGAGGTCCCGGGTTCGATGCTCGGTCGGATCAATGTAGGAAATTAACGCTTGTGTTGTGTTAGATTCGTCGTCTCGGATACACAATAATACAAGGGCCTTAGCTACTCATCTTGGAATCTGAGCAATGTATCTGATATTGTCTAATATAAATTTTATAACAAGAGTTTAGACATTGCAGGTATTAGTCAAAATTGGGCCATGAATAAGACTGATGAAAAGAAATGTTTTACAGCTACATTAACTAGGTCCTGTTTCCATTTTAACAATTTAATCTAAATTGGTTTAAAATTTACATCTATAAATCAAACTAATTATCAAACTAACATATTTCACTAAATCCAATATGTTAACTTTAATAGCATAGATTTCTCAATTTGTTATTTCAGTGAACAGTGAACAGTGGACAGTTATTTCAATGAAAACTTTTAAATTGCTATTCTGTACAATTAGTCTCAATTGAGATAACATATCTATTTTACAGTTAAGAGCGCCAAAGTTATTAATAATAACGTAGCGATAATACTCGTAACATAGTAAAATATCGATGTTTAGACGTGTATATTTAATTAACTATTCAGACCATATACGAGTATTATATAGTTGAACCAAAAGTATATTGCGATTTTTTATATTTATGTGGGATTCAAATCCTAATGAGTTTTCAAAAAGCAAAAACCAATAACAAAATATGGATTTACAATGAACACTAATGACCTCACCACTCGCCCGTAAAAGCCATCGCAGCTGTCAAACTGCACGCATTTATTTATGTTGTGTCTTGGTGTAACCACCATCTCCACCAAAAGTGTTATCGTTCTCTAATATAACAGATATTATCAACTGGAAGTACTATCTTTATAGCATTTGTACTAATGTTCCCCAATGTAACTTCGCTTATCTACAATATAAATTGTATTGAAGCCATGCCAATGTGGATTGAGTTTTATACGTCAGGCCATAATGTGACACGGAATGGTACTTCCGCTCGCCGAGCTAATCTGTGTCACTGCTTTGATCCGCGTATGAAGGAAAAGCTGTCCTGAAATATAAACACATAGAGTGAACTTTGAGTGTATCACGTCATGTATGAAAATAGGTGGCACTATTGCATATTTTTCTTTAGGCTCTAGCTGCCGTAACGCATTACACAGTCTACTTTGCATAAGCTTAATTGTTCCCATAGCGTAGTAAAAAACAAGGGTGACATTCTAGTTGTAGCTCCTGCCCGTATGAAGAGTATTAAGTAAATAATGTGAATTAATTAAAAAGTCACTCAATTCAACCGGTAACTGTTTTATTAACTATCTCATTTTTTTTCTAATCAATACGTTTAAAAACTAATAGTATGAACTAAATTGATTACTTGTAACATACTAGCATGCCGCTCTAACGTATGACCGTTTCACAAACCGAATTTTGACGTTTTAATCTAACTTTTGGACGTACTGCTACAATAACATTGATTTACTTTAATCTATTCTACTCTATGGCATTGAAATATATGTCAGTTAATTTGGAAGAGACGCTGAAATAGTTTAGAATATATCAAATATCCATTTTAATACTACGAAGCTTCATTTAGCTAGCCAACCTGTAAATCGGCGTAACATTTCGTTGAGCAAAACATGGCACTTTACATATAGCATTTTCACTCGAAAATAGAAAGTAATCTTACAGGTAAATTATCCATTTATCATCAAAACTTAAAACCGTACCAACTACGAAATTTGTATACATGACATGAAAATGGTGTAGGTTTTTTGGCTTCTATTGTACTATTCCTAAGAAAACACTACAAAGATTTCCTTGTAATGTAAAATTGTAGGAAATATGTTTCTCTAGATTATTTTTTAATGCTAAAATAAATTTCCTAGCCCTATTCTGTCTATGTTCAATGTATTTGCCTTTATAATCGACTCTCGATATGCTATAAAATACTTGGGTGTAACGATTTATTACAACAACTGACAAATATAGGACATATAATATATGTAATTTGAAAAACTCATTACGTACTGTATAAAAGTGAAACAAACTCATAAGATATAAAATAAAGCCATCGTAATATTTTCATATTACAGTGATGTCCTGAGGCAAGAAAAATAATTTATACTTTTCCGCCCGTCCGGAAAATTCAAACAGCTATTCGGGAGGGTCATCAAAGTTTAGGGAACGACCATCTTGATGAAGAAACAGAACGCCAGTGTGTAAGTCTGGCCTATATAAGAATAATAGAGATAAGTGAATACTGGTATTTATCTTTATATACCTCCATAGAGTAGTGGCCGAGGCTTTCTCAAGAGTCAGTCACGGGATGGGTGATCAAAAAAAAATATCTCGAGCTACTCTGTGCTTTGCAAGGCACGTTAAGCCGTTGCTCCCGGTTGCATTTGAAGTTATTAATTCTTACTAATTCGCACTGGCCCCGTGTAGTGGGTCATGGTCCATCTTACTTACTCATCCATAAAGAAGGCCCCCTGCAGTGGGGATGTAAATGGGCAGATGGTAATAATTTTTATTAGTACTGTAATTTCTTCTGCGTATAAAACATGTTTAAATCAGTTTAAAAATTTACAAATTGGTTTTACAAAGAAATGCTAACTAGGCTGGAAATGCTAATTTATTAGAGTCAGACGTTATTTTGCCGAATGTGTCAACTGGTTCGTTGACACTGTAAGGTGTAACAACTATTCAGGATGCTCCGTGGATGTGCGAAACACCCTATGTTGATTTTTCGAGATTTTGCTAATATTAACTGGGTGTGCTAGATTTAATAATTTCACAGTTGACAGTTTGTTATTTATAAAAGTCTGGCGGCAATATTGATGCCATTCTTATTTAAAAAAAATATGTTTATCGTGATATCTATAAAAATACAAATGGACGAGTTGAGAATCATTTTTCGAAATTTGCTAATGAAAGTGATTCTTTTTTCTTTTTTTTTTAGGAATAGCAATTTTTTGCTAGCGCCACATTGCAGATCTATTTAAAATTAAGATGGATATTAAGTTTAAGGAGTTTTTTAGAATATCACAAGCTTTTATTTAACCTGCCATATTTGTATGCAAGTTTGTGCGCAAATCTTGGAATTCAAATTTGTCCCAATTCCCAATGTCCGATAGTTTTTAAAAATTTACACAGACATGTAAGACAAATGACAATGCAATATGATGTCAGTAAGCTGATATGATGATGAAGTCGAAAGGTGATCAAAGGAACTTAGTGATTAAATAACGCATCTATGATGCAGTATGCGTCATTTCATCATTAAGTTGTAAGTTTGAGCTCGTTAGATCAGTAATTATGAGGACTTTGGTACTGGATGCTTTCCAGACCAAGGTCAGGTGATGATGGTACTGGAAGGTGGTCATAGGAACTAGGCAATAAAATAATCCAACTGCATAGTGTTTGGGCTCTTTTAATCCTTTTATGTGCACAACATGATGCTTTGTCAAAAATGAATAGAATAAGACAAAACTAAAAAAAATATATAATAAAGAAAGTTTTTTTAAAACAAGCTTTTTATTTGTACGCAGTAAAACGGTAATCATAATTTTATGCAAGACAAGTTGATAACAGTAATGTTAAAGTACTTATAATCAAAATTTTCTCTAACGCAATCGACTAGAACTTTGTAGAGATACTTAATGAAATCGGAGACGAGAAAATATACATATTTTTTACACACTACAAGCTTTTCAATACAATTACTGTTAGAGAAAATTTTGATTATTAGTACTTTCACATTAACTTTATGTACTTGTCTAGCATAAAACTATTATTTACGTTTTAGTGTGCACATATAAAAGCTTGTTTATTCAATTTAATTTATTTTACATGTTGTTACAAAAACATATAAGACAATACACAATACCAGATTGTCAAAATAATTATAAGTAAAAAAATAAATTTTAATATTGTAGTTGAAATTGTTTTTTTCAGCATTTTATGATTGTCCTAAAAAGGTGACTAGTTCGACATTCGTCGGCTAGCGCTAAAGCTGATTTTCTACTAGCCCCTTTTTGCGAATATGGATATCAAAACGGATGTATGTACATTTAATTAAATGGATATTTATATAATAAATATCCATTTAATTAAATAGGGAATCTATGCTCCAAATCGGTAGAATGTATGCAGTTCATAGGTACTAGTAAAAATATAGAGTTTTTACTATTACACTAAAATTCCATTAATGCAAGCTTACTCAGCATACTGAATAGTAAATTCTTTATTGTACTGAAAATAATACACAGAATAAGGAAAACAATATAAATTAATCAGATATAGAGTTCACAAGCGTAGAATTTTAAAAATACGTATATACTTCGTATAGATACGAATCTATTGTAACACGGAGAGTGTGATAAAACAAAGTGGTTTTTAATAAAGTAATTGTGATTGTATTATAAAAACATCTTTTTTATGGAAACAAGGACTAAATATCTTGAATATTTCAAAAGTTTGCCCTTAAAAAGAAATAGAACTCAATCCACACGCCTAAAGGAATCTAATTTTTTTGACAGCCTCCTGTCTTGCAAATATTTTTAGGGGTCCTTTGAAGACCTATTTCGATGATATCAGTTCTAATAAAAGTATTCCAAGTTAAACGGATCACTTGTAAACGAAATATCCAATTTCCAAGCAAATTATATTCATTTTGTTTTGTCAGAAGTGCTTGTATTGAATGTACAATAATAGATAATATCAAAGAAGTTACGTGTCAGAGCCACAGTATAGTATTATCCCGCAGGTTTCCAAAACAGGCATTATTAATAGGTATACTCATAACATTTAATTTCACAATATTATTTGTAACTAAATTTTTTTTAGTCCTTAGTTAGATTTTAGTTAAACTTTTGCTTTAGAGCCGATTAATCCCACTAAACACATTGTCAGAACTGCAGAGCGATTCCGTAAAAATCCGAACCCAAATTCGCATCCGAATTCACGTCATTTATTGTAGGAATTCTATTGATTCCAGATTTTGTATAAAAATACAAAACAAAATTGAAGTTCACTTCACTTACGTCACGAAACGATAACACCGATTCAAGGTTAAGCGGATGTCGCTTACGAAGTGAATTCGGGCACCTGACTGTTCGGATTTTTACAGAATCGCAGCGCTGATCGGTTCGAAGTATATTGACAGCGCCTGGTCATTCGAATATGGCAAATGTTGCCTCAATGTGTGATCATCAAATATCAAACGATTCCGTTAACAAACCTATTAATTTTATCAAATCATTACATCAAAATAAATTGATTAATTCTGTGACATTATAAAAATAACAAATAAATAATTGAGATTTTGATTATTATACTAAATGAATATTACTAATTATTGTTTATACAATTATACCTTAGTAGGTATCATGATAAAAATAAGTGTCACAGTTACAACAATTTGTGACATTTTAATATCTAATATTTACCTTTACGTAATCGTTGATAAATCCAGCAATTTGATCAAATTTTATTTGACTGTCGAATATTGGATTTTCGTGCAACCTCTAATAATTTCCTAAATAGGCAACATACATAAAAATACCTTTATATCAACAGTTTGCTTCATTACAAAAACTCTTAAATATGAAGTGTTTTATAATGTTTCGAAGTACTTATTGAACCACAAAACAAAATATAATCGAAATCAGTTTGTCTTCTTCCTTGCGATAAGTTTTAAAGGAACACCACCTTTTACTATTTGCGGCATTGGGGTAAATGGACTGCCGATTAATTGTCTTTTTGAATTCTTAGATGGAGCCACTGTGAATTTGCTTAGTATTGCAGCTAGACCAGCTAATGTTTGCATGATACCTAAACGTTCACCTGAAAAGTTGAAATATTATGTAAAAATTATGAGCCGTCTGTACAACAATAAATGTATGATAATTTTTACAATAACAGTATTTTTACAGTAACAGTGTATTTTTTTTAATATGTATTATACCAGATGAAAGTAACATGCAAAAAAACGTACAAAAAATATATATCATAAAAGTATTAGTTAACATTAAACTAAATTATGATAGATACATAGTTAGAAATTTTTGTTGACATATTTTATGAATGTCAAGGTAATTCTACTATGTAAACTAGTTTTGATAAAACTTGTTGCTTTATTATTCGGAAGTGAGATATTAAAATAAAATCTTACCTATGCACGCCCGAGGTCCTTCACCAAACGGTAAAAATACATGATTTTGCATATTACTTGCATTTGCTGGACTGAATCTCTCGGGGATAAACTTTTCTGGCTCGTCAAAATATTTTTCATCCATTTGCATCGCCTGATTGACTACCATAACAGTTACATTTTCATCGATCGTCAAATCAGAATCAGGGAAAGTGTATTTCGACGCTGATTTTCTAAATAAAATTCCAAGTGATGGAAATATCCGCATACTTTCGCTGTAACAAATGTAAATATATAAATGACAAAGCCTTAACAAAATCATCCACAAAAAAGATCAAATGAAATTAAATAGTGCTTACTTCAAACACATCTTCAAATATTTCATATCTTTAATTGCGTCATAGCATAACTTTCCATCATACTTTTGCAAAACTGTATCAATTTCCTCATGACATTTCTTCTGTATTTCTGGGTTAAATGCTAACTGATGTAAAGTGTAACTCATATTAGAAGATGAAGTTTCAAAACCAGCTGCAAAGAATACAAAGACTTGGGCAGCTATTAATAAATCGTCTATCTCTTGTTCCACAATGATAGGGGAACCATCAGAGTTTTTCTTTTCTATGGATTCTCCTATCATTTTGCCTTTATTTTTTGCTTCTAAGAGAAGATCTATGAAATCATTTCTGTCCGTGGGTTTATAATTTCGCTCTTTCATAATACTCGAAACCAAATGAACTGTCATATCTTTTACTTCTGGCGCTACTACTGCTACATGCCTCATTAATGAAGGCATCAATGTTTTCGCTATCATTCTTAAAATGTCAATAGTTTTTATATTCATTATTCTATCTCCGAGTTTACGGAAAATTGAATTTCTATCTTGCAGTGCATCCATATCAATGCCAAAACCACACGCTCCAATGAAATCTGTAGTAAACCTCGCTAATAACTCTTTAACATCTACCTCTTCGCATTTGCTTGCAGAATCAGCTGCAAGTATCTGTAGCTTTTCCGCTCTTTCGACTATCAAAGGAAACATGGCTTTGAGCTTGCCACTGGTGAAAGCCGGTGTCATACGAGTTCGAAGAAGTTTCCACAAATCACCATCAACAGAGAATAAATGATTGCTCATTGGATCTGATTCATGTTTGTGTAGTTTGAAACCTCTTGGATAGAAACAGTGGAAATCGGATACCATGACTCGTTGAACATCTTTGGGATCTCTTAGAAGAAGCGTAGGTTTATGCGCCACGTACACTCCAACAAATCTTTCATTAGGATACCTTTTATAAATATCTACGAAAAAATCAGTTATGCTAACCTTAAAAGTCATTTGCTTAAAACTGTTTCCCACAAAAGGATAAGGCTTGTCATGTTTAATTCCTTTTTTCTTCCAGTAATTAAAATTCCTAGTTCCATACAAGAACAACAAAACTGGCACCAACAAAAATAGTAATATAACGAACATCTTGTTGACTTTACACTTCAACGTTTTTTATTATAAAAATGCAAATCATCTGTTGACGATGAATTTATAACACGCTCAAAATGATAAGTAACTTTATCTGCTAGTTTTGTTTTTTATAAATGTTGATAGTACCTATATCCAATGAGAAATTTGCAGAATCATTCATAACCATGTTGGTACTATTCGAACAACTAAATTCGAATTTTATTATATACCTAATTAGGTATTTTATTGCTTATCAATATTACAGGATAAGAATAATAGTTATTCATTCTACAGGGGCAATAACACTTGATATAATATTTGAGTGTACTTGAGGGAAATATTGTATAATGCATTATACTGGTATTACATCAACAAATCCATACTGGGATCGCGTGGTTGAGCTGTTTGGGGCCTATAACCCTTAAGTTATTTAATTCCATCTTTACGGTATACCAATGCCCCAGCAATACATTGGATATTAATAGGCTAATGACGATCATGACCACCATTACAAACGGAAAAAAAAAATGAAAACACAAAGCAAGTATTCAATTTCATAAATCCAACTTTCATTAGATTGTTTTGATCCACATACTTTTATGATTATAATTCAATAATAACCGTCATAATAATGGATAAACTTATTGAAATGTATAAATAGTTATTAATTTATGAATTATCAATAAATCATTTTATATAATTTAATAATTTGTTCATTCATATATATATATATATATATAAACCGAGGTAGTAAACTATTTATATATTTAAATTTATTGAAAATTAGGGAATAACTAAATTTAATACAATATTATTAAACAAACACGTTGCTTATTTAATAACACTAGCATAAGCTTATTTGGATTAGACTGGTAAAGACGAATTCAGAGTGGGTCTAGTACAAAAGAAATTAAATTACTTTAGTTGCATCAACTTACTTTAACAATAACAAACATGTTATAGTAGGTACCGGCTAAACAAATAATGAGTTGTAATCATGTGGCATTTGGCAGAGAACCACATAACTTTGGCTGTTAACTGTAACCACCCAAGCTTCATTGGTTAAAGTTATTGTTTTAATTTGCAAATAAATAAAATAGTGCAACGCATTGCACTTACAATGTTAAAGTCAGCTTGAGAGTAATTGTCAAATTTGACATAGACCATAACTTTAACTAAAATAATGGTGCAATCCAGTCTTAGTGTTTAATTATTTTTTACTAGCCTATGTCACTTGCGTATGATGTAGCTTCCCCTAGGTCAAAGAATTTGCGAAATAGTTTTATTATTTTTAATAGGTTGAAACTTATTGATAGGTTGATACTTATTGACAAACAAATAATGTACCGATTATGATATAAAGATTATGTAATTCATCGAATTATCAACATAATTGATTCACATGTCAAAATTGTTACAAGCCATAATGACTGTCTCTTTTTAATTTGGTACGTATAATGTTAATATAGCAATATATCAATCATGGATTTATCACTGTTAGTGTAAATTAAGATGCTTATCATCACAAAGTATTCGAAATCTAGATGTATAATTATATAAAACTAGTGGACGCCCGCGACTTCGTCCGCGTGGAAGTCGGTATCCCGTGGGAGTGAGAAGTTTTCCCAGTAAAAAGTACCCTATGTGTTATTCTGATGTATAACCTATATTGCTGTAAAGTTTTATCCAAATCCGTCCAGTAGTTTTTTCGTGAAAGAGTAACAAACATCCATACATCCATACTTACAAACTTTCGCCTTTATAATATTAATAGGATAGGATAATTATTTCAAAAAAATGCAAAAAATTTAAATAGCTGTAATTAATATAAAATGTAAAAATATTAGCCATATTATTTTATCAGTTTGAAACTTAGTCATTTATACTCATTTAATTGAAGCAAGGTTAAAGCCACTCTTATTTCAATAATATCTGATACGGTTGTTAAGCAACATTCGCAATGGCCAATCATAGGATGGGCGACCATAAATTTACCATCTCAAGCTCCTCCATGTTTCGAAAGGCACATTAAGCCGTTGGTACCGGCAGCGTCTGCAGTCGTTAATACCCACCAATCCGAACTGGGCCTTCATGGTGGATCGTGGCCTTCTCGCTATTCAATTCGATTCCATACCATCCATAATGAAAGCCTAAGCCCGAGCAGTGGGACATTAATATGCTGGTAATGATTAATTAATTAAGTTCTTAACATATAGAGTAACGTATGGTATTTGCTTTAATTTTGTGATTTATCTGATCAAAAGATACTCATAGTTGCTTCTTTTAGTAAATAGTACTGTGTTATTCGAGAAAATTCAATTTATCTTCCTAAATAAATAACATATTTGTAAAATATATGTCGAAGAAATCCAGTAGTTACATTTATTACATATTTGTTACTATAGTCTTTAGAATAAAGCAACCACTATAATAAACAATATGTAATTGATATTAGTCTTCTTCTTCTTGGGATAACTTTTAAATGAACACCGCCTTTTATTATTTGCGGCAAAGGGGTAAACGGTCTACTGATAAATTGTCTACTCGTGTTCTTAGATGAAGCCACTGTGAATTAACTGAGTAGTGCAGCTAGCCCGGGTAGTTACCTAAACGTTCAACTGAAAATAGATAAAATGACTTATATTATAACGACAAAATGTATCTAAGTATTTTGATAATTTAAACAGTGTTTTTTATTTCTATCACAACAACAAGACGAAATTTCTTTGCCAACGATATAATTCTCTTTCAACAATGGAACTCCCAACCAAGGCGGAGAAATTTGTGATCAAAGTGGCCAGTACGACAAAACGCCAATTCCATATGTGAAGGACCTAATATATATTGATTTATGGAACAGTACTTTTACGCCGAAAGAGCCGAATGCGGCTTGCAAGTTCCCCTGTAATACGCGAATAGCATGCATGCCTGTTTCAAATTATGCTATCTCGCCGATTGCCAAATATTCTTTCTACGACTTCTTTTTATAATTTATAATCTACTCTAAAATTAAAGCTAAAAAGTACCAAAAAATTTGCAAAAAAAAAATGTTGCCGCAAGTTAATTTAATCTTTAAATATTATTCATGTTTTTAAGTCTTTAAGTCCAGTGCATATTTTCTATTCAACGTGTAATCTTAAATGCGCATGAGTTTTTATCGCACAATCCTTGAGCATGACTTTGCTATTTTACGTTGTCATTAATTAAATTAAAATTATATAATGCTGTTTTGCCTTTACAAACTGATTAACTTTAACAGGCATGTGTGGACCGTAATGAATCTTAAATTACGGTCGAAATTTAGTGTGCTGTGAATAGTTTAAGAAATCATGATTCATACTCATGTACATTTATAAAGTTATAATTGAATAGAATTAATGATTTTGGAGAAGAAGTCGATTACATATACTATATGATTATATACTATATATTATATGATTTCATAAACATTTTGGAAACATTAATGCTATCGCCAAAACGGGGTACTATGGAAAGAAAAACAAATGCTTTAGGTTTTGCTACTAGGAGACATAATCTATATATATAAAAATGAATCGCAAAATGTGTTGGTAAGCGCATAACTCAACAACGCCTCGACCAATTTGGCCAAATCTTTTTTTAAAATGTTCGTTGAAGTTCAAGGATGGTTTTTACGGCGAGAAAAATTAGAATTATTGCTGGAAAAACCCTAAAAATAGCCCTTTTCTTTTTCCCATACAAATGATTTGTAACTAAAACGTAGTCAATTTGAGCTTTATTGCTATGGTATAAAGTTCATATTAAATTACAAGCACTCACTGTTGTCTAAGCAATGTAGGTGTGTTCCTAACGTCAAAGATCATATCTATCAAAACAATGTGCGTGTGTGCGTTGGAGCACAGAATACATAGTTGGAGGAGTTCACAACGCCCTATCACCAGGGTGACGGTTCTGTTCAGGAGAATTTTTTTAAATACGTAGGCAAAAAAACTGCCACATTACAAATCTTTTTGACAGGACGAAGTCTGTCGGGTCAGCTAGTATATAAAAAAATCGATGATCATATTCCTATACTGCTAACTGGTGAATGGATGCCTGATTGAAATCGTTAGCCACTATAATGATTCTTTTGGCATCTTTCCCATCTAAATTATATCTTTAACTATACATATATAAAAGATGTCTTGACATACTGATTGACAAATAACCCATAGCCTAAACCGTCGTAGAGACTTGAAATTTGGAGGGTACAATTCCTCTTATTACGTTCTAAAAACGGAGTTTAGAAAATTTCACTCCGTTGGGTACCTACCCCTAAAAAGGGTGAAAATGTTTCTATGAAGTTTCTTTATTTTTGGACCTACATCGATAAAAAATGGTAATTAAGTAGTTGAGATAGAGACCCTGGGAAGGTTTCGACCCTGGCAAGCATAGATTATATTTGATGGTGTCTAATATACTATATTTTATAACAATAGTATAGAGACTGCAGGTATTAGTCAAAATTCGGCCATGAATACGACTGATGAATAGGATTGTTTTACAGCTACATTAACTAGTCCCTGTTTAAATTTCTCAATTTGGACAGTTATTTCAATGAAACTTTTAAATTGCTGTTCTGTACAATTAGTCTCAATTCAGATAACATACCTATTTTACAGATAAGAGCGTCAAATATAGATATTAATAATACCGTAGCGATAATAATATAGTAAGATTCGATGTTTAGACTTGATATTATTATATACTTGAACCAAAAGTATATTGCGATTTTTATATTTATGTGGGATGCAAATCCTAATAAGTTTTATGATACAGTTTTTAGTGTATGTTATAGTTTGTATAAATATAAAAAACTAATAGCGAAATGTGGATTTACAATGAACACTAATGACCTCACC